AGATTTTATACAATTACACGCTAAAACATATTAATCATGTTGTTTTCCAAGGTGACGTTAAAGTTTGCCCGAACCCTGTAAGAATTTTGGCATCTGAAAGACAACACATTCCATTGGGCAATTTTAAATAAGTTTTGCCTTTGAGATGCTGCAAGATTCTTTGCCCTTTCAGTTACAAGAAGCAAAAACAATATCTCTCCAGAAATGGCTTCTTTCCTTCCAAGTCTTTGTAAAATGTTCCTTTGAGGGACGTAATGGTGGGGATGAATGGAGGCTGTTTATGGGCCCGAGTGTCCTTTAAATCAGCCATTACTGGTTTTAGAAAAATGCTTGGAATGTTTCTTTTCCTCAGCACTGATAGTCAGCCTAGAGCAGGGGTCTTTAAACATGGGGCCCTTAATCCATGAGTTGATTTATGGATACAGTACAGGACAGTGATGGCGAACCTTTTAGAGACCAAGTGCCCAGACTGCAACCCAAAACCCACTTATTTATCGCCGGGTACCAGGTGGGCGTGGCCCACTGGGTGGGCGTGGCTGTGATGGTCATGGCAAACGGTGGGTGTGGCCAAAGTGGGCGTGGTCGCCTCGATGTTTCTCATGGGGAGATCCAGGGGGTCTCTGGCAGGTGGGGCGGTGGGCAGGAGGCTCATCCTGTGGGGTGAGGTAGGGCGGGGGGTATCATTGTCACAGGGCAAGGCGAGGCAGGGGCCAGGGGCCAGGGCGGCTGCTGCCTGACACCATCGGTCCCCGCACACAGAGGCCAGCGAGCGCATGGGGGCTGACAGTGTCCGTCAGCAGCCACAGCCGGCTGGACCCTCGACTGGGGCACTCTGGGGCTCCGCTCCGTAGCCCACCGCCAGCAGTTCAGAGAAGCCACCTCTGAGCTGAACAGCCGGCCGACAGCTGAGGAGGCGATGCAGTGGGTCGTGCCCCTGAAAAGGAGAGCATGTGACACCAGGAGGGATGGGATGGGGGGAGGGAAACCAGCCATGCTGGGATGCATCTGGCCACATGGGACCTCGGCGAGTTAGCGGGCGGCTGGTTGAAGAGGGATGATTGCCATCTGCGGGGCATGGTGCGCGTTCCCACAGAGAGGGCTTTGAGTGCTATCTCTGGCACGCGTGCCATAGGTTCGCCACCACTGGTATAGGAAATAGCACAAACACACATAAGTTGCACATTAGTACAAATAAGTCGCAATAGCCTGCAAGTTCATTCTAGCATTGGAAAATAGCCCAGAACCATAGCTGCCTCTGTACTGTTAGCATTTTTGTCAGCTACGCACCCATCTTTGCAATTGATGCTGAATTGTTGCAGAATTAGATTCTCCCTACACTCTTTGGGAAATTGGAACATTAAGACTAGTTTCTCTTCATACTATAATTATAATTTGCAGCCAACAGAGAGACACTAAATTGGAAATGGGTGTTTTTAGTTCTTGGCATCTTTAATTATTCCCTATTCTATCAAAGCAGGCATACAGATGTATGTTAGAGACTAAATTCCAAGTCTGTAGAGTAATTTCCCCAGTCTGTTTTTTCCCCTAAATGTATTGAACTTCAGTTTCTACAATCCTTAGTCAGCAGACGCCTCTAAAAATATCCTGCCTGGATCCAATTCTAGATGTTTTTATTAGGTATCCTGGTCTATTTTTAAAAAGCTTGCTTGAAGTGAAAGAGTGAAAAATCCTCCATCTGCTTTTCATCTCCCCAAGAATGATTATCAGGGGTCGCTTGCTGCTTTGAGTATAGCTACAGTGACTTCCCTCAAATGGGAAAGAGGATAGAAGCTATTTGCCCTACACCAAGGCTTTTCAACCAGTGGTACGGGTACCACCTGTGGTACATTGGCATCTGGCAGGTGGTACGCAACCATCCTAGAAAAGTAGCGGGGGAGGGGAATAAGCTGAACCGGTGGCAGCACTGCACAAGCCTGAGCGAGAGATGGCTGGAGCTGCAGGGCTGTCAGGGCTCAGCGGAAGCGCCAGGATCAGTGCCAGGCTCCAACTGGAGCTCGGCGCTGATCCTGGTGCTTCTGCTGAGCCCTGAAGAAGCACCAGTCAGCTGGAAAGCAGCGCTGATCCTGGTGCTTCAACTCCCAGAATTCCTGAGCCAGCATGACTCAGCTTGGAAACCTCTCCCTTTCCCCTCAGCATGGCTGGCTCAGGAATTCTGGGAGTTGAAGTCCACGAGTCAGAAAAGAGCCAAGGTTGCCTACCCCTGGGTCAGTCAATTTAGTTAGTTTTATTGATGTATTGTGTTTCCCCGAAAATAAGACCCAGTGTTATTTTTTATTTTTGTCTCCAAAAGAGACATCAGGTCTTGTTTTCAGGGGGTGTCTTTTCCACTCACCTCTGGCACTGACAGCCCTGCAGCTCCAGCCACTAAAGCAATACCACCAGTTTATATTGTTTTGTGATGGATCATCATATAAATTGGCCGCCATTTTGTGAATTCGCAGCTATTTTCTGCCCTCAGAATCCCAAATTTTCCTCCCTAGCATCAGCCAAAGATTGGGGGCCTCTTTTCCAAGGCAAAGTTTAGCAGTCTGGCTTTTGGGTATTTGGAGCTAAATCAGCTTAGATCAGTGGTTCTCAACCTGTGGGTCGCGACCCCTTTGGGGGGGTCGAACGACCCTTTCACAGGGGTCGCCTAAGACCATCAGAAAACACATTTCCGATGGTCTTAGGAACCGAGACACTGCTCCTCTATCCATCTCCGCACGGCTTCGAGCTGGGGGCCGTTGCAGCGCCGGATTCGTTTCCGTCGAGCATCTCCTAAGGCAGCGGTTCTCAACCTATGGGTCGTGACCCCATTTGGGGTCGATCAACCATTTCCCGGGGGTCGCCAAGCAAGGCTGTCCGCCATTTTTTCCCCCTTTTCCGGCGGGTGGCTCCCTTGAGCTGGGCCAGCTGGTGGTCGGCCTGCTCCATCTCTGCCGCTTGCCAGCTACGCCTCGGCCGGTGAAGGAGGCGGAACCACGCATGTGCGGCGCTCCCGGGCAGGGAAAGTCCTCGACTTACGACCGGTTTAGTCCTCGACTTACGACTGGTTTAGTCCTCGACTTACGACCGGTTGGGGGTCGCGGCATTAAAAAGGTTGAGAACCACTGTCCTAAGGGAGGCTGCGCTGCTTCGCGGCCCTTTCCACAGAGGAAGCTGAATTAAGCTCTGCCGACGCTGTCGCCCTCTTGGCTCTCTCCCTCTCCCCGCCTGGGTGCGTCTCCAACCAGGCTGGGGGAGCCGGCGGAGTGGCCTTCCTGCCCCTCCTCCCCAGCCAGCTGGAGCTGGGCAGGCTGTTGACCTTTGGAAATGAGGCGAGGACAGGTGAGGCGCGCTGAGCCCCGGGCATGGCGGGTGAGTGGGCGGTGTCTGTGCGCGCTTGGAGAGCCCTTAGGGTTGGGGGTCACCATAACATGAAGAACTGTATTAAAGGGTCGTGGCATTAGGAAGGTTGAGAACCACTGGCTTAGATCCTCCCGAAGTCTAATGTAAGCCAAGATAGCAAGGTATTGAGAAGTTCTGCCCAGAATACCTCCTGCTTCTTAACATTCAAGGCAATTGTCAATCAAGAGAAAAGGGGAACAAACAGAATAAATGAAAACAGTTTCTAAGCCTGTTTAGGGAAATCCATCCGCTATTGATGACAAAGTATCCTGCAGAAAAGGATAGCCTTCAAGACGTTCTTAAGGACCAAGAGGGGTATGTGTATGTGTCTCATTCCTGAGCTCATGCTAAGAGACCATTTCAAACTGAGAGTTAGGAATCTTTGCAGGTCCATCAGATCTCCTCCTCCGATGAATAAGCAAGGACAGTTGTTTTCTAAAGATGGGATGGTGGGAGAGGCAGTCTGCACCTGTAAGATTTGCCTTGGAGGAGGAGGGAGGAGAAGGGCCAATAGAGAGGATTACACTACAGCTAAGAGCGACTTTGATGAAAGCCTGGGCTTCATAAAGAACAAAGCAGGGCTTGTATGGGCTGCTGCAGCTGCTTAGTCAGCTCCTCCGTCCTTTAAGAGGGACAGTTTTGTTGCTGCTTTAAAAGAAGGGACTGTGATTAACGTGAAGATCATTGGTGCATTAGGATGGCTGGGCCTTTTAAAATAGGCATAAATCCTTCTCACTTGCATTCATGTTGTTTCCCCCATAATTGCATGGCCAAGTCTTGGCTGGTTGGGAGCGGAGCCCTGAAGTCTACTTACAATGCCCAGGTTCCAGCTTGCAACTGTTTTAAGGGGATAGCATTGGATTCTGAGCATATCTTGAATTCACTCTTCTTGTCATTGAGGACGGAGAGCTCTTGGCTCAAAGGTGCTGCAGCCAATTAGGTCTATGCCCTAGGCCAGGGGTCTTCAAACTTCCTCAGGGCTGGCTGAGGAATTCTGGGAGTTGAAGTCCACAAGCCTTAAAGTTGCCAAGTTTGAAGACCCCTGGCCTATGCAAATATGTGATTTGAATAAATCTCCGTGTCAGGAAAGAGATTCTTATATTTTCCTCCTCTGAGAAGACCTCTCTTTGGCGGTTCTTTTCCTCATTTTGTTGGTCTGTTGTTCTCCAGATGGTTTATCTTACTCCAAATTCCCTGCCAATAGGGCTAGAGACTCCACCACAGCTGTACAGCACTAGATTAGGGAAGGGTGGTGGTTTTTAGTTAGGATAAGAGATTTTGTGGACTTTGTTCCTTCTTTCGTACTGGGCCTTATAAATTGGCCTCAGCCACTCTTGCTAAGTGAGAAGGCATTTAGTTATAGTATTATCACAGGGGCACCAAGTGGGGGGGGGGAACTTGGCACAGGATATCTACTTGGGACTTTTTAAGGATGTGTCTCACAGTGTTAGGCAGATATTTCATGACAGGTTGTTCCAAGAATGTATGTCTCCTAAATTGCCATATAATTTGGAAAGGGGAAAAAAAGGATCATTTCTTCCTTTTGTAAATGTACTGCTGGAATACACCGCTTTTCTTTTTCATCCTAACCCAAATCTTTTCTCTTTTTATTTATCCTTGGGAAGTTCTGGGAAGTGATCAGTGATGAACATGGAATTGACCCAACTGGAACCTACCATGGTGACAGTGATCTACAACTTGATCGCATCAGTGTTTACTACAATGAGGCCACTGGTAAGCCTTCCTCTCCTCTTCCCCCTCCCTCACTGTATTGGCATGCTTTGATCCAAATGTTTTCCAACAGATAAATACGAACATTTGTTGAATTTCCTCATTGTCTCCTCTAGAATCATTTTTTTTCTGTTATGTCCTTGTGTATTGAAATGGAATATAGAATATAGAAGTAAGTATATGGGCAGAAGGTTATAGGCCAGTGGTGGCGAACACGGGTGCCAGAGGCAGCACTCAGAGCCCTCTCTGTGGGCACGTGCGCCGTCGCCCCAGTCCTAGGCCTTCAGCTGGGTTTTATAAAACCTTTTTGCTTTGGGCCTCTGCCACCGTGTGGGAAAAAAAAAAGGTTCAGTCAATCAGTCAATTTCAACTTCTCACGGGAAAAAGAGAACTTGCAAAGTTGGAATTGATTGAACTTTTTAGTCCCACCCAGTCTGCCGTTAACACCGCAGCCACGCCTACCCAATGAGTCACATCCACCCAGCACCCGACGATGCATAAGTGGGTTTTGGGTTGCAGTTTGGACACTCGGTCTCTAAAAGGTTCGCCATCAATGTTATAGCCTGAGCTTGCTACGAATCTCAACATTCATTATGTGAACTTAAAAGTAAGCTTCTAATACAGGGGTCTTCAAACCTGGCCCTTTGGTGACTTGTGGACTTCAACTCCCAGAATTCCTCAGCCAGGCATGCCTGGCTGAGGAATTCTGGGAGTTGAAATTCACAAGTCATCAAAGGGCCAAGTTTGAAGACCCCTGTTCTAATAGTTATTTCTTACCTGTGGACTTACGACCAACCCCAAAAAGGGGACTTATGACCCAGATCCTAAATTCTTAAAGTGCTCTCCCTTCCTGTGGTGATGTGACCACCACAGGAACTTGGCAACACGCTGCGTTGCGTTTAAGACTTTGCAGCATTCCGTGGCCATGTGGCTGCATTTTATGACAGTGTCAGACCTGCCTCAACCCGAACCTTTAAAAGGCAAGAACGATCCTTAACTCCATTTGTTGAGAAAGGTATAGTTTACAAAAGGTCAAGCGAATTGCAGTAGAGCAAAGCCAGAACTGAAGTTTGCGTCCCAAAATCCCCCAGTTTAACTTTTCCCCTCCCCATCACTGGTTCTTCCAAGTCCAATCAAATTTTTTTAAAAAAAGATGTTTTCAGAATGGTCACTTTAGGGATAGGACTTGCATGTAGCTCTGTTCCGTTCCCAGCCATTTAGCCTTGATACTCTTCTTGGAGAGATGTTTCCCTTGAAGCCTCCCTCTTCCCATCTAGCCCCCCCCCTTGAGTTTATGGACTACCTCTATTAAAAAGCCTGGTTCAGGTTTAAACTTCATCTTATCCTATAACAGCCTAATAAATTGGATTGAGAAAGGTGTATTGGGAAAATGATTATTTTATAATATTTTTAATACCATATTGAAATGCCTCTTTTTTTTCCCCCTCTCCTTTTTGTACCTCTGATACCCGCTTCTGTGTTCCTTCCACTCATCCTATATATCGAGGGTCTCCAAATTTGGCAACTTTGAGGCTTGTGGACTTCTCAACTCCCAGAATTCCTTAGCCAGCCATATTATACTGACTGGGGAATTCTGGGAATTGAAGTCCACAATCTTAAAGTTGCCAAGTTTGGAGATCCCCCTGCTATAGATAAGGAATGTCTGACATCCTTTAATTTCATTGACCGTCTTACCAACACTTGGCTTTTCCTTTGAAATCTAACAAGTAGGCAAAAGCAAGCTATTTGAAAGCGAGGACCCAAATGTAATTTGGTTTTTCATCGGAGGAAGCTCAGTTGGCTACTGCAGTGGACTTAATCTATTACACCTGGGCATTAAACCTTTGTTTCTTTCTCTAGGTGGCAAATATGTCCCTCGTGCCATCTTGGTTGATTTGGAGCCAGGAACCATGGACTCAGTGCGTTCTGGACCTTTTGGACAGATATTTCGACCAGATAATTTTGTATTTGGTAAGAATCTTACTGCTTTCCCTGCACCCTTTGCTACTTGTAGCTACATTTGATGGGGGAAAATATAGAAGGACTATACCTGTCTAGGTATGAGCAGTGTCTTTCGTCAAATTAGGAATCTGGGTTGATAACTTACATTGCTATTGAAGGAGGAATTGAAGAGGTCTTTACAGAGCATTGATACGATGGGAGGGGCAGGCAAAGATAAGTGTTTTTAGGGCAAGCTGGGATAGTTATTTCTTCTGGAATGCTCGGTTTTGCCTTCCAAGTTTTCAATGTCTCCACTGTGTAAACTTCAATTCCCAGAATTCCTGAGCTGGCACACTTAGGATTCTGGGAATTGAAGCCCACCTAATTTGTAGGAGACTGTAGCAGTTCATTGATACCTAAACTGATGCCCTCTAGATGTGCAGCTAGGCTATCATTTTCATGGCTTGGGTATAAACTGAATTGCAGTCTGAGATATTTGGAGGACACTGTAGAGAGGACTGCATTGAACAGAGAGCCAGTTCGGTCCAGTGGTTAAGGTGCTAGACTAGAAACCAAAAGACAATGAGTTCTAGTCCTGCCTTGGGCGTAAAAATCTGGGTGGGGCCAGTCATTCTCAGCCCAACTCACCTCACAGGGTTTTTGTTGCGGGGGAAAAAGAGAAGGGAGAAATATTAGGCATGCTTGCCACCTGGAGTTATTTATAAAAATAATAATAATAAAGGGCAGGATATAAATAAAAATTAAGTAATTTATTTTATCCTCCCAATATACTGTAATCGATCAGAGTCCCTTAGAGAAAGGTATGGGTCTAGGCTCCATTAAAACAGGATCTCAGAAACTTGGATTCACACAAAGTGTATGAGTCTGAAGGTTCCTCCTATGGTGGGTTTGAAGAATAGTGTTGCACGTTCAAGGAGATAATCTGTATCAATCTGGTGGGAAAAGGCCAGGAAAGCAGAAGTAGCTTGCAGTCAAAGGGGAAGGGCGGCTACCTAACCCAACACAATAATTTATATCCCATCTTCTTCTGCCCCTTTCAGGCCAGAGTGGAGCTGGTAACAACTGGGCCAAAGGTCATTATACAGAAGGTGCCGAGTTGGTGGATTCAGTCCTAGATGTTGTGAGGAAGGAAGCTGAGAGTTGTGACTGCCTGCAAGGATTCCAGCTGACCCACTCTCTAGGGGGTGGAACCGGTTCTGGGATGGGCACCTTACTGATCAGCAAGATCCGTGAAGAGTACCCTGACCGTATCATGAATACCTTCAGCGTGGTGCCCTCTCCCAAGGTCTCAGATACCGTGGTGGAGCCTTACAATGCTACCCTCTCAGTACACCAGCTGGTGGAGAACACAGATGAGACCTACTGTATCGACAATGAAGCTCTCTATGACATCTGCTTCCGTACCCTCAAGCTGACCACTCCAACCTACGGGGATCTTAACCACCTGGTCTCTGCCACCATGAGTGGTGTGACGACTTGCCTCCGCTTTCCCGGACAGCTGAACGCCGATCTCCGCAAGCTTGCTGTAAACATGGTTCCATTCCCCCGGCTCCACTTTTTCATGCCCGGATTTGCTCCCTTGACCAGCCGTGGCAGCCAACAGTACCGGGCCTTAACAGTCCCAGAGTTAACGCAGCAAGTTTTCGATGCCAAGAACATGATGGCAGCCTGCGATCCCCGCCACGGACGCTACCTAACTGTGGCAGCCGTCTTCCGAGGCCGTATGTCCATGAAGGAGGTGGACGAACAGATGTTGAACGTGCAGAACAAGAACAGCAGCTACTTCGTCGAATGGATCCCCAACAACGTCAAGACGGCCGTGTGCGACATCCCTCCCCGTGGCCTGAAGATGGCGGTCACCTTCATTGGCAACAGCACAGCCATCCAGGAGCTCTTCAAGCGCATCTCCGAGCAGTTCACCGCCATGTTCCGCCGTAAAGCTTTCCTACACTGGTACACAGGTGAGGGCATGGACGAGATGGAGTTCACAGAAGCTGAGAGCAACATGAATGACCTCGTCTCTGAATATCAACAATACCAGGATGCCACGGCTGAGGAAGAGGAGGATTTTGGAGAAGAGGCAGAGGAAGAAGCTTGAGGTTAAACCTCGCGCCCTTTCGACACCTGTTCAATAAGTCCGCACAAAATAAAAATAAAAAAAATTGCATCTCCACGCTCTGTTTCTTTCTCCTTCTTCTCCTCAAAAACCTAACCTGTCAGCTCTCTTTTCAGACTCTTACTTTTTTTTTTTTCAAACGGGGCAGCCTCTAACAATGGTTTAAGGGTTGATCTGGCTTTTTACATGTATTACTCTTTAGTAGAGGCAGGTACCCAGTAAAATTGGCTAAGGGGAGGCTGTGTGTGAGACAGTGGGAAGAGACGCAGCTCCCTTCCTTGATCATATTCTTACTTAACTGTATTTATTATTCCCCAACCTTCAATATCTCTGTTGCCAACATGTAAAACTTGCAGTCTCAAAGGCCTCCAGCT